ATAAAATGGAAATACAGACAATTACCAAACAATATTACACCTTCTAGTTGCAATTTACCGCGGTGGGTATCCGTTTCTGGAAGAACAAGTGCTTTCAGTCCGTACTGTTGAAGTATCAAATGCAAATATGGCTGTAGCCATATTAAAAATCAAATTCAAACAACATATGTACAGTTCAGAAGGAAAAGTAAAAACTTCAATATAAGCACAAGATATAGAAATAATAACAATATACAATGATAAAATCTCGAAATGGAATCAAATATAGTACCAAAATGTCAATCGAAAGAGTCAGTCATATCATAACACAAATATATATACATGGATGGATTTTCCAAAAAGCAAAACATTCAAAACAGATTCTACACAGCATACCGACGAAAGGGAATAGCAACACAGGAAACTGTTACCACTCAGGGACAGTAGATTAAGTTCATTCACTTAATGTTCCAGTGTCGGAATGTAGCTTACTAGAAGTTAGGGCCGCCTTCGTTAAGGAACAGTGGGAAAAGTACTGTCCAATCCTCAGAATATGCAATATCCCGTCAAAATTATGCCGGCTTTTCAAAGCACGGATCGTTAAGAAAGGGAACACCCTCTAATGAGGGTAACACTAGACTCTGCATGAGGCACGATAAGCCGTGGTTGGAATGTGTGGCAGCCTGGATATCACCGGGCACCCAGGAGCAGACCAGTCTGTTAGTTCGCAGCGAACCCGAACTAGATCGTAGTAGCTTGGATGAAAATCAAGTGCACGATGTGCAGCACTGACGATAGCTATCACGTAGCCTGGGCCTTCACACCACATTAACTTCTTGTATTTCCAGTATGCATCGCCCGTCAAACCTCACGTCCATTAGGTCACCAAGTCTGATGGCTGTGGAATTCAGGAATCAAGAAGACCTAACTGGGACTTTTCAGTCTTGGATTAAATCAAAAGCCGACATCTTTAGCCACTTTAGGTGTTGCGAAAGCCAACCTAGATATGTGAGACAACATCAGAGAGGTCAAATAAACGCACAAAATTGACGGTTGACCTTGATCAACGACCCCTGGCACAAGACAAGGAGACAAAAGTCTCGCTTACTGAACGCACTGCACTGACAGAAAATCTGTAGAGGCCAGTTCCCACAGAACTGACCAACTTGGTTGTTGCAGAGAGGCACCAGATACTGAGACATACCCCAAGGTCCTCTATATTAACGTAAGATGACTAAGGGGTAAGCTGTTAGAAATCAGAGGAGTCTATAGATAATAATCTAGTGGCTTGAAGTCACACAACCGAAGTAATCTTCACAACATACTAGTGCAATAAATGCGGTTTATTAAAAGGCTTGTAGATAACGATGACCAATATGAGGAACGACAAACAAAGTTGACAGTAGGGAGCAGTGAATAAGGAAACATGTCAACCTTCAGAAGTTCACTTTAAGGTTGGAATTGCTGACAATCGCAACATTAACACAATACAGTGTAATGGCAAAAAAACGTTTCGATACTCAGAATATGGAAAGCCACAATATTTAAAACTCAGCACATATTTCTGTAGAAAGTGGTGACGAATTCAATACAATTTACAAGAACTAACACTGGTACAATTGGTTACAATGATTAATGTTTCTATTAGACCAATTGCATTCTTCTGGTCCTAACCAACTTGTTCTGACGTCTTTCTTAGCAGCAGCAGGAATAGAGGATTGTGATGCAGCAGCAAACGGTAAATTTATCTGTAGAACAACTCAAATGACAGCGTCTGATGTGCAGCTTGGTAATCGTTCATAGTTGTTTATTGAACATATAAACAACTAAAGATATTCACTCTTGTGAAAACATCTCACACACTTTTAACAAATTATATATGAATCAATGCTGAGACCATTCAGACTATTTGTCAAAAGAAATTGCATTACAAACATTCATTTTTATATCTCGAAATAATAAAGCGTTCTCGAGAAATTTCAGTACAGCTATGTCACTAGACATCGATGATAAAATAATGAGATGATAATGATGCAATCCGAGCCGACAAACCAACGAAATCTCTATTTGTGACAGACACCCAGGATCTGTTTAAAGTAGGAAGCAATGTTTAGGCGTAATAGCGGGCAACAGCATCACCATAGCTCCCGAAATTTTACAAACCGGGGACAGGAATGTCGCTTTAGATGTTGGTAGAGTCAGCCTAGATCAGTGAGACAACAACATGGAGACCTAATAAATCTCACATTAATGTCGGCTGATCTCGATCGACAGCCCACAGAACTAACCAACCTGATTTACTCAACTCGTTTAAAAATTCGTCCTCAGATATTTCTGCAGAGGTGCACCAGGCAATGTAACAAACCACCAAGTGCCTCCAAAGCAACGTAAGAGTACTGGGGGTAAGCCGTTAGAAATAAGGAATATGTGCTCTCAGATAATAATAATAATAGATCGTAATCCTAAATGAAGCATGGCTATCCCCTGAAATTGCAGACGACGAAGTGAGTTCGCAAGGCATGACACTCTTTCGAAGCAATGGGGTACACCAAACAGAAGAGTCAGTCATATCATAACACAAATGTATATTTATACATGGAGGGATTTTCCGAAAATAAAACCTTCGAAACAGATTCTACATCATATACCTAGAAGAAGAACTTGGGTTAAGCAATCAACTGATCGCTTCCTACGGGTAAAGCGAGAGCCTGGCACAAGTGGAAAGTCTCTCTGAGGGTTTCGTCCGTAATTCTTACTTGGCATTGAGAAACAGATTCGATACCGAAGTTCGAAGTGATGGGAGACGCTTTCAGATGAAGCTAGCTGTCGAATTACAGGTAAATCCTGAGCGTCTGTTTTGGTTCATGAGTAACAGCAAATCTACGTATTAAGGTTTCTGTTAAATCAAAAATCCGAAGGAGGAGGACCTAACCAACCTAGAGATAGATGGCTGAGATCTTCAACACAAACTTCAGCGATCAGTTAAACCGAGAATCCATATTTTCAGATTACTATGCAAACCCAGTGCCAGCTAACGGCTTAGGGGATATCCGTATCACTCCTGACTTAATACTAAGGGAACTAAAATTCCTACGCACAGGGAAGTCACCAGGTTGTGACAGTATTCGCCCCATAGTCTTGACACAATGTGCAGAATCCATCTGTTCACCGATATGTGACCTCTCCAGGCTTTCACTGCTGTCACACCAGTTCCCAGCCGAATGGAAACAAGCTACTCTCTCTTCAGTTTTCAAAGGAGGACAAAGGAAGGAAATAGCCTGTTGCAGATCAGTTGCATTACTATCAATACTATCGAAGTTAGTCTTAGGGTTGTTGAACGAACAGATGAGGGGGTACATAGGTAAGAAGAAAATACTCCATGAAGCTCAACACGGGTTTAAGAAATGCAGGTCGTGCGCACCTAATCTCATGGCATGGGGCAGTCGGACATCCTGCTCGGACGAAAATCACCGGTGCACGTAACATTTCTCAATTTTGCAAAAGCCTTCGATACACTCCCCCACGTGCGCCTATTGGCAAATATTAGGGAGATAGGCTTCACTCACCCACTCTTATCTTGGCTCAGAAACTACCTTGAGAATAGAAAGTTTCGTAACAGGGTAAATCTACTGCACGTGAGTTGGCGAGTATCACAATCGGGACTTTCATAGGGGACCATGTTAGGTCCACTCCTCTTCCTGATATTTATTAATGACCTTTTAGACGGCATTGATCTACGAAGACAATGCAAAGATCTGGAGGTCCATTAGAAGCGAAGAGGATTTGACTGAGCTTCGAAAGGACCTTACATCCATTGAGGAATGGGCAGTGAAATTCAGTTTAAAACTAAACCAGCCGAAATGTCAAGTCATGTACATTTCGCAATCTCGGTTTAATAACCTCAGAAAGCCTCCACACCATTTCGACCAATGTAGTGGACGCAGTCAAGGCTAATGCAACTCTTCACTTTACGCGAAGAAAACTTTGTGCTATCACCCCTGAATTGTTCTTGACTCTCTTTAAGACATATGCACACCCACTTATTGAGGTTTACAACGTCATCGCACCCCCTCTCCTTAAAAGAGACACAAATATCTTGCATCGAGTGCAGAGAATAGCAACCAAATTGGTGATGGGGTTGAAAAACAAAACTTACGAAGATGGTCTGCAGCATTTGGGACTATTCCTGCTGAGTTACGGGCGAATCAGGGCTGATCTGACTATGGTGTACAACATATTAGGCACGTCAAACCATCCGAATGTGAGCATCTTACCGATGCATCACCACCACTCCCATTCAAGCAACCCTCACAAAATTGCGCATGAAACAGCGAATACTCAAGTTTATGTACACTTTTTACCATTAAGAGTCGTTGTAACCTGGAATGCTCTCCTAGCTGAGGTGACCTCAACCCCCTCGGTGGACAGCTTTAAGAAGAGACTTGATAATCATATACTCACTTACGGATTATCATCTTCCTCGTGGACCAGCTGTGCCTGATGCCTGCCTTGAGACTTGCTAGTCGTTATTATCGCCATCTCCTCAGATTACTAACTTAATCTATCTGGCCCATTATCTCTGTTTTTTCTCCCCTGCTAACACTTTTGTCCTCTCTCACTATCTTCACTACCAATTAATAAACTATGTTATCCATTACTTAATTAGTCGTGAAATCCTATTCTTATAATCATTAGAATTTTCGCCTTATTATTCTCCACATTGCAACTAAATGATCTTCACCCTGATAATTTGATAGCTGATGGTATTCCCTGAAACAAACGTATTCATTCATATCACAGAACATAGAAACTCACAAACAACTGCCAACAGACTAGAATTAGACAGTTGAGTGGAAAAACCCCCGCCCATTGGACACTACCAGATACCTGGAACCGTACAGAAGGACAAGAATAGAGCGCAAATAAACCAATTGGTTTATACTAACTCGTGATAAAGATAGTGGATATTGGATATTGGAACACAACGTGACTATGCAGAATTTTCGATTTTTCATGGTCTCATGGGCAATCATTGGAATGACGGTACGTATATCAAAACTGCAAGCTAATCCATCCAAAAACACAAATTTTAAATCATCATTTTCAAAGGAAGTCTTTACTTTGATCCATAACCATTTGAAGGTATCAATTCAGTTTCGAATAACCGGTTAAGATATTTAAACCTTACGAAAAATATAAGCTTTGCCTTTTTTTGATTGGTGAACAGTCAGAGTAACAGTTCACGCAAACTAGTCATACCAAGTTAAAAACATTTGTCGGTAGTTGTCCCGATCAACTGGTTTATTCTTTATAAAATCAAATTTGTCATAAACGCATTCACGTGCAAATACACAGCTTCTGAAAAAGTTATTGAATCCTTGCAGACTTCCACGATCAATAGGCTAAAGGTAACGTTCCATTTCGAGTTTTTTCAGGCCAGATTATTGCGTAGTTTATATTCACCCGATCATAGTTGCGAACATTAGGTGCTGGTCAAGCTTGTCCATCGTGATGACTAAACCCAGCTACGTTGGATGGAACACATGCTTATGTCGGTTGTGGCATGCCAGGCATGTAAACTAAAGATAGAAACATTATAAGGAGCAATCAATAATATTTGCACGGAGATTAGGAGGCTAATGGTACAGATGTTTGTTCATTTAAACTTGGTTAATTGCCGGTGCATATACGATACTGTTGTGCCCCGTGCAAGAGACTCTGAAATTGAATACCACTGACTTGTTCCACAAGTCTTACTAGAGTGGAACAAAGAGAGACGGTATGAAGAGGAGAAGTAGTGGTATGAGGTTGTAGAGGTTTTCTGTGTTTTGTTGTGCTGTGCTGTGTTGTGTTGTGTTTTGATGTGTTGTGTTGTGTTGTGTTGTGAATCTGTGTCTCAGCGATGATGATGATGATGATGATGATGATGATGATGATGATGCAGAGTGAATGATTTCAGTGTGTCGGTGTAGGTTGTTATGTGATGATGTTGATTGTTGGTGATAGTGTTATGTGGTGTTATGTGGTGTGGTGTGTGTGTGTGTGTTATGTTGTAGAGGGATAAATCGCAGTGGACGAGTCTTGAGTTCACTGAGTAAGTACCTCTGAAATTGACTGCATGTCAGCCACGATGTGTGTTGATGACACGTATCGCCGTGACTTGGTACAGTGTAGTTGTGAGAGGTGATGTTTCTGTGTGTGTGTGTGTGTGTGTGAGTGTTTGTTTGTGTATTTGGTTTTGCGTTGGAAGTGTGGGGTCAGCCAGCAGATAATTGTCGTGAGTTGTGATTGTTAAGTGATGCGTTGTTGAATGGAGCTGTGTGTGATTTGATTTGATTTGGTGTGATGTGATGTGATGTGATGTGATGTGACGTTTTGTATTTTGCTGTTGTGTTTTTTGAGAAGGGTGTTTGCGAGTTGTTGATTGTAATGTGTGTGTGTTGTGATTGGTGTGATTGTTGATGGTTGGTGGAGAGTGTTTTTGTGACGGCGATGATGATTATTTGTGTAAGTAGTTGTGGTGATGAGTTTCCCTTGGCTGTCAGAATGAGTTCTGTTGAAACATTCGACATATGTGACTGAGATGGTGTTAATTTACTGTGTAATGGTAGTGACTAGCGGTGATTTTGTGATCTTGTGGTACAATGTGACATCAGTTTAGTTTTGTATTTGTGTTGTAGGTGTTGGTGTTGTTGTTGGTTGGCGATGTGGATTGTTGTGGAGCGTTGAAGGCGTTGAATGCACGCGAAATTCGACGAATGGATGGTGGACTGTACTGATTGAAGTCATGCGAGCACTACAATGTGAGGGGAGGCAACGTTGGTATAGTATGAAAGAAACAAAGGTGAGGATGACGTCTACCTGTTTATGTTGATGAACTTGCTGAACTATTTATACAGACACATGTACATCAATGTATGTGGGATATGTATGTAGGCAAATATGTTTTTATATAAATCTCAATGTAAACACATGTGTGGAAATATATGTGTATGTACAGATTGGTATGCACAAATATATCTATCGTATGGGATTTAGCACGGGATTAGGTGATGTTGTTGTGGATGGCTGGTTGTGTGTGTGGTTTGTTGTATTTGGTGTTGTTGTTGTTGTTGTTGTTGTTGTTTGTGATTTGAGTAGTGTTAGTGTGTGCTGTGACGATAGGTAGGTAGAGGTGTGAATTCCGGTGCATATACGATACTGTTGTGCCCCGTGCAAGAGACTCTGAAATTGAATACCACTGACTTGTTCCACAAGTCTTACTAGAGTGGAACAAAGAGAGACGGTATGAAGAGGAGAAGTAGTGGTATGAGGTTGTAGAGGTTTTCTGTGTTTTGTTGTGCTGTGCTGTGTTGTGTTGTGTTTTGATGTGTTGTGTTGTGTTGTGTTGTGAATCTGTGTCTCAGCGATGATGATGATGATGATGATGATGCAGAGTGAATGATTTCAGTGTGTCGGTGTAGGTTGTTATGTGATGATGTTGATTGTTGGTGATAGTGTTATGTGGTGTTATGTGGTGTGGTGTGTGTGTGTGTGTTATGTTGTAGAGGGATAAATCGCAGTGGACGAGTCTTGAGTTCACTGAGTAAGTACCTCTGAAATTGACTGCATGTCAGCCACGATGTGTGTTGATGACACGTATCGCCGTGACTTGGTACAGTGTAGTTGTGAGAGGTGATGTTTCTGTGTGTGTGTGTGTGTGTGTGTGAGTGTTTGTTTGTGTATTTGGTTTTGCGTTGGAAGTGTGGGGTCAGCCAGCAGATAATTGTCGTGAGTTGTGATTGTTAAGTGATGCGTTGTTGAATGGAGCTGTGTGTGATTTGATTTGATTTGGTGTGATGTGATGTGATGTGATGTGATGTGACGTTTTGTATTTTGCTGTTGTGTTTTTTGAGAAGGGTGTTTGCGAGTTGTTGATTGTAATGTGTGTGTGTTGTGATTGGTGTGATTGTTGATGGTTGGTGGAGAGTGTTTTTGTGACGGCGATGATGATTATTTGTGTAAGTAGTTGTGGTGATGAGTTTCCCTTGGCTGTCAGAATGAGTTCTGTTGAAACATTCGACATATGTGACTGAGATGGTGTTAATTTACTGTGTAATAGGAGTGACTAGCGGTGATTTTGTGATCTTGTGGTACAATGTGACATCAGTTTAGTTTTGTATTTGTGTTGTAGGTGTTGGTGTTGTTGTTGGTTGGCGATGTGGATTGTTGTGGAGCGTTGAAGGCGTTGAATGCACGCGAAATTCGACGAATGGATGGTGGACTGTACTGATTGAAGTCATGCGAGCACTACAATGTGAGGGGAGGCAACGTTGGTATAGTATGAAAGAAACAAAGGTGAGGATGACGTCTACCTGTTTATGTTGATGAACTTGCTGAACTATTTATACAGACACATGTACATCAATGTATGTGGGATATGTATGTAGGCAAATATGTTTTTATATAAATCTCAATGTAAACACATGTGTGGAAATATATGTGTATGTACAGATTGGTATGCACAAATATATCTATCGTATGGGATTTAGCACGGGATTAGGTGATGTTGTTGTGGATGGCTGGTTGTGTGTGTGGTTTGTTGTATTTGGTGTTGTTGTTGTTGTTGTTGTTGTTGTTTGTGATTTGAGTAGTGTTAGTGTGTGCTGTGACGATAGGTAGGTAGAGGTGTGAATTCCGGTGCATATACGATACTGTTGTGCCCCGTGCAAGAGCCTCTGAAATTGAATACCACTGACTTGTTCCACAAGTCTTACTAGAGTGGAACAAAGAGAGACGGTATGAAGAGGAGAAGTAGTGGTATGAGGTTGTAGAGGTTTTCTGTGTTTTGTTGTGCTGTGCTGTGTTGTGTTGTGTTTTGATGTGTTGTGTTGTGTTGTGTTGTGAATCTGTGTCTCAGCGATGATGATGATGATGATGATGATGCAGAGTGAATGATTTCAGTGTGTCGGTGTAGGTTGTTATGTGATGATGTTGATTGTTGGTGATAGTGTTATGTGGTGTTATGTGGTGTGGTGTGTGTGTGTGTGTTATGTTGTAGAGGGATAAATCGCAGTGGACGAGTCTTGAGTTCACTGAGTAAGTACCTCTGAAATTGACTGCATGTCAGCCACGATGTGTGTTGATGACACGTATCGCCGTGACTTGGTACAGTGTAGTTGTGAGAGGTGATGTTTCTGTGTGTGTGTGTGTGTGTGTGTGAGTGTTTGTTTGTGTATTTGGTTTTGCGTTGGAAGTGTGGGGTCAGCCAGCAGATAATTGTCGTGAGTTGTGATTGTTAAGTGATGCGTTGTTGAATGGAGCTGTGTGTGATTTGATTTGATTTGGTGTGATGTGATGTGATGTGATGTGATGTGACGTTTTGTATTTTGCTGTTGTGTTTTTTGAGAAGGGTGTTTGCGAGTTGTTGATTGTAATGTGTGTGTGTTGTGATTGGTGTGATTGTTGATGGTTGGTGGAGAGTGTTTTTGTGACGGCGATGATGATTATTTGTGTAAGTAGTTGTGGTGATGAGTTTCCCTTGGCTGTCAGAATGAGTTCTGTTGAAACATTCGACATATGTGACTGAGATGGTGTTAATTTACTGTGTAATGGTAGTGACTAGCGGTGATTTTGTGATCTTGTGGTACAATGTGACATCAGTTTAGTTTTGTATTTGTGTTGTAGGTGTTGGTGTTGTTGTTGGTTGGCGATGTGGATTGTTGTGGAGCGTTGAAGGCGTTGAATGCACGCGAAATTCGACGAATGGATGGTGGACTGTACTGATTGAAGTCATGCGAGCACTACAATGTGAGGGGAGGCAACGTTGGTATAGTATGAAAGAAACAAAGGTGAGGATGACGTCTACCTGTTTATGTTGGTGAACTTGCTGAACTATTTATACAGACACATGTACATCAATGTATGTGGGATATGTATGTAGGCAAATATGTTTTTATATAAATCTCAATGTAAACACATGTGTGGAAATATATGTGTATGTACAGATTGGTATGCACAAATATATCTATCGTATGGGATTTAGCACGGGATTAGGTGATGTTGTTGTGGATGGCTGGTTGTGTGTGTGGTTTGTTGTATTTGGTGTTGTTGTTGTTGTTGTTGTTGTTGTTGTTTGTGATTTGAGTAGTGTTAGTGTGTGCTGTGACGATAGGTAGGTAGAGGTGTGAATTCCGGTGCATATACGATACTGTTGTGCCCCGTGCAAGAGCCTCTGAAATTGAATACCACTGACTTGTTCCACAAGTCTTACTAGAGTGGAACAAAGAGAGACGGTATGAAGAGGAGAAGTAGTGGTATGAGGTTGTAGAGGTTTTCTGTGTTTTGTTGTGCTGTGCTGTGTTGTGTTGTGTTGTGTTGTGTTGTGTTGTGAATGTGTAGTGTTGTGAATCTGTGTCTCAGCGATGATGATGATGATGATGCAGAGTGAATGATTTCAGTGTGTCGGTGTAGGTTGTTATGTGATGATGTTGATTGTTGGTGATAGTGTTATGTGGTGTTATGTGGTGTGGTGTGTGTGTGTGTGTTATGTTGTAGAGGGATAAATCGCAGTGGACGAGTCTTGAGTTCACTGAGTAAGTACCTCTGAAATTGACTGCATGTCAGCCACGATGTGTGTTGATGACACGTATCGCCGTGACTTGGTACAGTGTAGTTGTGAGAGGTGATGTTTCTGTGTGTGTGTGTGTGTGTGAGTGTTTGTTTGTGTATTTGGTTTTGCGTTGGAAGTGTGGGGTCAGCCAGCAGATAATTGTCGTGAGTTGTGATTGTTAAGTGATGCGTTGTTGAATGGAGCTGTGTGTGATTTGATTTGATTTGGTGTGATGTGATGTGATGTGATGTGATGTGACGTTTTGTATTTTGCTGTTGTGTTTTTTGAGAAGGGTGTTTGCGAGTTGTTGATTGTAATGTGTGTGTGTTGTGATTGGTGTGATTGTTGATGGTTGGTGGAGAGTGTTTTTGTGACGGCGATGATGATTATTTGTGTAAGTAGTTGTGGTGATGAGTTTCCCTTGGCTGTCAGAATGAGTTCTGTTGAAACATTCGACATATGTGACTGAGATGGTGTTAATTTACTGTGTAATGGTAGTGACTAGCGGTGATTTTGTGATCTTGTGGTACAATGTGACATCAGTTTAGTTTTGTATTTGTGTTGTAGGTGTTGGTGTTGTTGTTGGTTGGCGATGTGGATTGTTGTGGAGCGTTGAAGGCGTTGAATGCACGCGAAATTCGACGAATGGATGGTGGACTGTACTGATTGAAGTCATGCGAGCACTACAATGTGAGGGGAGGCAACGTTGGTATAGTATGAAAGAAACAAAGGTGAGGATGACGTCTACCTGTTTATGTTGGTGAACTTGCTGAACTATTTATACAGACACATGTACATCAATGTATGTGGGATATGTATGTAGGCAAATATGTTTTTATATAAATCTCAATGTAAACACATGTGTGGAAATATATGTGTATGTACAGATTGGTATGCACAAATATATCTATCGTATGGGATTTAGCACGGGATTAGGTGATGTTGTTGTGGATGGCTGGTTGTGTGTGTGGTTTGTTGTATTTGGTGTTGTTGTTGTTGTTGTTGTTGTTGTTGTTTGTGATTTGAGTAGTGTTAGTGTGTGCTGTGACGATAGGTAGGTAGAGGTGTGAATTCCGGTGCATATACGATACTGTTGTGCCCCGTGCAAGAGCCTCTGAAATTGAATACCACTGACTTGTTCCACAAGTCTTACTAGAGTGGAACAAAGAGAGACGGTATGAAGAGGAGAAGTAGTGGTATGAGGTTGTAGAGGTTTTCTGTGTTTTGTTGTGCTGTGCTGTGTTTTGATGTGT